TTTTTTTTTCTTGTTTTAATTTTTCATCGCCGGGGAGGCGAAGATAAAAAGGTTTAGCTCGAATAGCTCAACTGGTAGAGCATGGCACTGAAGATGCTATTGTATAAGTTCAAGTCTTTTTTCGAGCAGACGGGTGGAATTAAATTTGGAACCGTTGGAGTTATTTTAAGTCGACCCTTTAACCTGAGTGCTGTAATGGAAGCCAGGGGGTGTTTAGGCCACCCTGAGAATATCTCGTGAGTGTTCAAGTCACTCCTCAGGTATTTGGTTACAGGCTTACTAAAGGCCATATGTATTTTTATGTAACCATCTAACGTTAATAAATCAGCTTTAACATCTTTAGCTTTTTTATTAAATTACCCTTCTGTTTTATTTTTTTATAAAAAAAAATCTATAAGGGGGGGTGTCCCCGAAATTAATTATTAAAAAGTACCCCCGGGGGGGTGTCCCCGTCGGGACGAGCCCTCGGGGACTTAATAATTTTTTAATAAGGTACTACCCCTCGGGGACTTAATACTACCCCTCGGGGACTTAATAAGGGGGTAGTACCCCGGGGTATAAGTTTTATCTACAATAAAGTACCATAAGATGTTCTAATTTTAATTTTACTAATAAGTTAGGATCTACAAGTTTTTCATTAAGTTGAATAGTAGTAACTATACTAGAGGTATCTCTCTAAAATATCACATTTATTATTTAAATTAGCTAACAGAATACCTGCCATATGAAATCTAGCATAAGAAAGAATAACACTAGTAGTAGTGATAAATACTGTTATAAGTTCTATAGCTATTTTTTTTCATCAAAGTTTTCTTGATTTAAAGCTTTAATAAACACTCTAGCTTTCACAAACCTCTTTATTAATATAAGCTTTATATGTATCTAAATAAGAGTTATAAGTTAATTTCATAGAATTGGATAATATTAGAGTTAAATAGAGTTGTGTATTTTTATCGTTTAATATAGTAATACTTTTTATTCATATTTGTTTTGAGGGTACTCACTTGGGGCCAAACAGGATTTGAATTTATTGATGGTATAGACAAAATATAAGAAAACAGCACTAACACGGTTAAATTCATAATATTTAAACCCTTAATTAGCAAAATTTTAATATACATTTAATTATCAACCTTTTTCCTGCTGGAAAATTTATGTAGTTATATAAGGAAGTAAACCTAAATAATTAGTTACTACACACTATTTCACAATAAAATAAACCAAATAAATTATCCAGATCTAAATCTTTAGATTTTTGATCTAAGCAATAGAATTACATTTTATCTCTGAAGATTTTTTAAGCCAAAGGATAATGTGGATTCACACCGTAAGAATAAGCTTTATTTGTTACTAGATGATTGAATACTTAAATTCCATCGCAATGACTTTTACGTATAACATTTAACATTTTTAGAGTGTTTAATAAAATTTTATTAGCTAAACCAGGTATAGTTTGTGATTCAGTTCTTTGACGATCAAATATAAACAGTTTTATTGAATATTTTTAATTAACTCTACATTATAATGCGAATAACCCTATCTAAATATTTAAGACATTCGTCTTTTAAATTATTTTTTTTATGCATTATAATCATTATAATCAATATATTTTAAAAATCAGTTATTCCTTTATAGTGTTTTTTGTACAAAAAGACTAGAAAGGACCTTTAGAATTAACTCTGTTATAATCTTTAGATAAATATCTTAATTAAGCACTAAACTACCTTGGATTTTTTTTCTGTTATTTATATTATTTAATTTTAATAACCAATTTTAATATTTGATTATCTTTATTATTTCAATAATAAGTTATTCTTTTTGGTTATTATTCTAATTATTTAAGGTTATAAAAGGGGCAGCTAATCCACTAATATTGTATACATATAGAAAAATCTTTATACTTAGACTTTAACATTTCATCTATACAAGTTAATATCCATTTATCACTATTTAAATCTTTAGATAAAACATATTAGATTTTTTATCTAAATCTAAACATAAAAATCAATAGCAAAACTATTTCCCCCTCTCTCTTTTTCATATGTCTATAAAACTCAATTAGTAACCCCCTTATTTAGATTTTAACGCTTCATCTTTAATAGGTTATAGGTTTCTTATAAAAGTTTCTTTTAAGAAGTAATATTACCAATATTTATTCTTCAGTGTTCATAATTTATATCTTCATCTTTTACACAACATAGTAAATTATCACTTTTACTAAAAGCTCTTCAACAAACACACTGGGTGTTATATTATCACCAATAATAAATTATTTTGTTTTTTTAATAAATTCCCGTAAAGGAGTATATATGGGGATAAATAAATTCTAATCGTAGAATTCTTATAAAGTTAATGTAACTTTTAGGTAGGTATAGTTCAATGGTAGAACAGCTGTATGTGGCACAGTCAATCCTTGTTCAAATCAAGGTACTTACCCTGTTTTATAGTTAAAAATATAATTTTAACATTAAAAATTTTAATTAGAGAGGGGGGGTAATAATTATTTACGTTAAGTATTATATATTATAAATATATATTACCCCCCTTACCCTTTAAGCTTTATATTGCATAAGCACCCTTTTTAAATAGCCAAATCCTTATTTTTCTTCTGGAGTAGACGAATAGGTAAAGTCCTGAATTTTTGGTATTCATATTTGGGTGTTCGAATCGCCCCTTCAGAATTTTTATATATTTATATATATATTTTTTATTATAGCCGGATATATGTTTAATTAGGCTGATAAAAGGATTAAGTTATATTAATTGCAATTACTTATAGCCCGGATAGTTCAAAGGTAGAACATTAATTTCATGAGTTAAGAATGAGAATTCGATTTTCTCTCCTGG